GCGCCGGAGGCGGGGGCCGGGAGGGCTCAGGGCCAGGCGAGGGCCGGGGGCGAGGGGACTGTACGGGTCCCGGGGTGAGGTGGAAGGGTTCGTGCGGAGGGCCTGGGCCGCCCCACAGGGCGGGGGCCCTGGGGGCTGTGCGGGGGGTGTGGGGAGTCCTAGGCCTTGGCGTGGGGGGAGTGGCTGAGCCGCGAGGGCCGCGCCGCCCTTCGGCTGCGTGCGAGCATCCGCGGACCACCGAGGAAGATTCCGCGAGCCGGGGGTCCTGAAGCTGGGGTGGGGTCCGCGTTGGGTACAAGGACCAGAGAGGGCAGGAAGGGGAGAGAAAAACAGGAGAATTAATTTCCGGGGGTGGCAGCTTCTCCCCCATTCGACCGACCTCCCTGCCCCACTCAAGGCCCGGGGGAGATGACAGTGACCAACCCTGCCCCGGTCCTGGGTGTGAGACGGAGGAGACATCGGGGCCAGGGAGGGGCTCGGGGTTCTCCTACACACAGCAAGAGCCAATTAACCCTCCGACTTAACCCTTACGACCACCCTGAATAGTGTTCAGCGCGGCTTCCCGCATCCCCAGCCGAGTTTGGCGAGTTCGCTCTGGACTCCCAAGGCCGCCTCTCCTCCTCCCCACTCTCCAGGCCCCCTGGTCTGCCTAGACCAACGCCTGTCGCCCCCTTCCCGTCACCTTAGCGACGACAGGATGGGGGCGCGACCTATGAGGACAGGCTTAGGGGAGGGGGCGCTACTAGTCTCCACCTGCAACGGGGAAGTGAATTTTAGTTTTACACGTTGTCGTGGCAACGCGGGAGGGGGTGATGAGTGGGCGGAGAAGAGGGGAGCGCAGTAAAGAAACTAGCTCAAGCACCACCGCCCCATTGGAGCGTGCCACCCCCCAACACTGATAACCCTCACAGAACTACCCCAATGCTGCAAAACCTGTGCCCCCAAGACCCCTGAGAGCAAAGAGCAGCCCTAAATGTCGGAATATCCCTGATCTCCCGAGAAACAGCTCCTGACTCCCACAGAACTCCCCGACATGCCTTGACTGTGCCCCCAAAGAAAGGCCCTGACCCCCATAGCGGAGCTGCTCGCTCTCTCACTGGACGCACTTGATAATGTTCACAGAACAACCGAGCATGGGCACACCCTCTGGTCCCCGGTAGAAAAGAGTCCCTGCCCTC